CTACTTTTATATATATTAGGGATGGGACGATTTATGAAAACCGTCCGAACCGTTCGGTTCAACTGTCTCGGTTCGGTTCGCGTATGTTTCATTCGCTTCATGCGCTGCTCCTTTTTGTCATAGGCGAAGCGGTTACACTCCAGAGCAGAAGGTGGCGATACTGCGACCAAAGCCAACCACCAGTAGTAAACAAGAAGAAGAAGAAGCAAAGCAGCATAGCCGGGTGTAGCAAGGAAAAAAATCAGTTGTTGTGGAGAATTGTGTCGGAATGGCGAGTGGGAAAGAACAGGAGTTGGAAGACGCGCCAGCAGCACTTTATAGGTCTGCTGTATGGGACTTTGCCTTTAGAGTGACCTACAATAACGGCGGAAAGAAAGTTGTGGATAAAAGTGCAACAGTGTGCAAGCATTGTGCAACATATTTTGTTTATGCTAACAGCAACATGACCAACATGTCATGCTAACCCATAAATCCCGCATACTCCGTCAGCAACCCCCGCTCCGCCCCGCTGCGCTCCAGACCGGCTGCTCAAAGCAAAGCCTACAGCCCCCACTGTGGCTCCCGTCCGCTCCCTTCTGAGTCCCTTGGAGATCGTAGAGGGCATGCGCGAGATGATTAAATTCAAAGCAGCAAAACATACGGAAATGATCCAGGGTTTCCGCGGATCATTTAAAATAATTACAATTCATTATTTTTGGGGGGATTTTTTCATTAATTTCATAAATTTTTTTGGGATTTCGGTGTAACAATCAACATATACCGAATCGAACCGAACCGAAAACCGTGCCCACGAAACCGTGAATCGAACCGAACCATGGATTTTGTGAACCGTTCCACCGCTAATATATATACATTTTCCATAACCTTTGACTTCCCCTGAAAACACATGTTTTACATGAAAATATCAGCTCTCTTACTCTCCATAAGCTGCAGCTGTATATTCATGAGCCTGTAGACACTAATCAAAGAATTAGATCACCTATTGTGTGTTCAGATGTTATAATAGTTCTCAACAATCATCATAGTTATAAAATTGTCCATCATTGTTTAAGGCTAGTGGTATAATTAATATTGTCCAAAGAGATGTTATGCATTGATGTCTGACCTTTCACCCATTAACATAAATGTACCAGCATGGATAAAAGCGAGAGGAACTAAAGGCTGTCAAACATAAGATGCTATATTATGTCGCTGCTCATTTCTAGATGCAGACAGTAGGTTTAAAACACTACCTGCATAAATAAATACCAACAGCAAAAGTATAAATCTACTCTTCTCAAACTTGACACAATATGGAGGCAGGCATACGTATATCAGTTAGGGGTATAAAGTTGCTTCAGTGAACCAGAGAGTGTGACACTGCCCCTCCACCACCTGTTGCTGCCCTCTTTACTACAGATTTTCAAATCGATTTTATTCTTTAACAGTTTATGTGCCAGCATTTTGGGTAGTAGATAGAAAAGACAGTGAAAGAAAATATAAATGATTTAAGCAGTGAGAATACCACGGATGTTAGCATTCGCTCTGGAACTTAGTATCTACACTTTCGGACTGTAGTTGTGAACCTAGTTAAAAATCTGAAACATCGTCAAAATGTTTTAGATATTTTACATTTACCTATTTCAAGTCTTTGATACACAGTTTTATATTTTCAGTTCTGGTCATTTTATTTGAGAAATATCAAAAAGGAAACACTTTCAGGGCTTTTGGTGGCATTCAAACCCTGTTAGAATTAAGCAAAAATGACTTTACACCACAGTAAATTAAGATAGCTATAATCTCAGCTTATCTTGTTCTAGAATCCTGGTATTGTGTTATTTAAATGTATTTTGTTTCGGTGGATTTTTGTACACTCCCTTATTTACTGGACAAATCTGTTAAGCTGATCAGGAAAAACAAGACTTTGGAATCAGTGAAGTGTGGTGCTGTATTGATTAATTGACTTTATTGATCTCATAGTGGAGAAATGTACTTGTTACATTGGTTCAAAAGTCAAAAAGAACATGCCAAATTATGTTCTTGAGGGTTATATACAGTGCGTCAACATATATGATTTAGACAGCTGAAGTCTCTTATTTAACAGGATTATTACTCAGAGTTGTTGTACAGGGTATTAAATGGATATTTACATAAATAGGTATTTATACATACTGTTATTGCACTTTGTATTAGTTATACAAAACAGGTTATTGCACAGGGTATCAGAATAGTGATTGCACATTAGATATTGCAAAAGTTATTGCAGTTATACTGTCGTATTAGCTGTTTACCTAAAGCCTTTCTTAAAGATGTATTGGGTTATCCTCACATTACAGCCAAATATTGTTTTATTAAAACGTTTCTGTCAGTTATATTGTTTATTTAGGGCTTACATAAAATGCTGTATAATTTTTGCTGTGGGATGAATACATTTCACACAATTTTTTGTCAGCTCAAGTAGGAAATCATGTCTCCCCTCCAGTTCTGTAATTTCTGCACCTTTGACCCTCTCTGGAAACATCTCCACATGAACATTACATCATGGGCTGATTTTCTCTTAAGGTGGCAGAGTTGTAGGAGCTGATTTTTTTCTAAAATTGATTCAACCTGAAAAGCACAGTTCACACTGTGGGAAAATCACCACAGATGGTGTTACTATTTAGTGTCGGAATGAAAACATCACCTGTCCTCACTGCGGTAAGCCTGTAAACAGCCCTCTGAAGAAAGCATTTGAAGCCCATATTTTAAGGGATTTCTAACTACAAACCATCCAAATTCTCTTAATAATAAGCCATTCACAGTTTTTTATGTAATTTAGCAAGTTTTAGATGAAAACATTATGCAATATCCTGTTCATATTAAGTTAAAGGAGTCTTTTGTGCCTCTAAGCAGCTAACTGCATCATGCTGTGGCCAAGGTAGAATATGCAATTGACATTTCCCTGCCATTAGCTTTCATCTTGTTTAATATTACAACCTTTGCAAAATGTTGAGGCGGCTGAGTGTCTGCAATTGTTATCCTACAGTTAAGCCTGGTAATTTGGCTGCAGCTGATATTGATAAAAGAGGTTTTAAAGGGCTATAATTTAAGCAACAACTCATAGGAAAAAAAACTGTTAAATGAGCATCAATGGAAATAAGGGATAATTTTGACTAGAAGTGCATTATTATACAGAAATAACCAGTCTAGTCAGAGCTATTAAATGAAAAAGTCTTGTTTAGAGAGTGACATTAAAAAATGAGTGACTGTTATTAGTAAAGAGGGCTAAAGAAAGGCGGAAAATGTTTTTAGTTAGACTCTAAGATGGGAACTTCCATTAACATGACATCTCATTAAGAAGAAATGTCTTAGTGGTTGAATGCATATAATCCACTCAACTCTGGTGGCATTTAATGTTTCTTTCCACAGTGCTTCATCCTCATAAGCAGATTTAACATTTTCTGACTTTACAACCCAAAATGTTAATGTATGTGTTTATAATGGAAAGAATGTGATGTGTGTTTTGTTTTTTATTCTTTTTTGATGCAAATCTAAAACCTGTTGCGCATTCATATTTAGTGGATTCATCACTTTTCCCTGACAAAATAGGGCTGATTGTCTTTTGTGTATTCTCTCTGTTTTGCAAGACTAAAATTCTTACACATTCTTTCTGCATAATTTAGGTTTTAACTTCTAACTAGACATTAAAACACATGAATTTATTCAGATGTGAACCTCCACCTCATGCAGTCTCAGGGCTTTTACACGTTCTAAGATAAATCTTTTGAGTTTGCACACCATTTAACCCAATCTACCTTAGCATCAACTCTGTGTCTCTTTCACTTTAAAAATGCATCCCCTAAGCATAAAGTTTCCACCATTATATTTAACTACGAATGAGGTGTTCAGTTTGTTGGTTTTCATCCTCATAAAGAATCCTATAAGCAGTCCAGAAAGTTCAGTTCTGGTCTCAGCTGAGTAGAGCACCTTTGTTATGTCTTCAGCATGATTAATGGCTGTATTAAATGTGATTATGTTAGAGCTTTTTGCTTTTTTTTAACAAATGATGTTGTTCTTTCCAGTCTTAATCAGTATATTAATTTAAGACACAGCTATTGCTTTCTATCCCTATTGAACCTTTACATTGACTTAAATCCATTTGAGTTCCTGCATTTCTGCCTAACTCTGACATTTACCCTAACCATTATCTGTATTTACCCAACCCTGAAATCAACCTAAAGTTAATTTGCACCATAAGTCTAAACTGACTCTCTAAGGTAAAAAATTGGGGTCTGCTATATTAGGATTTAAGTTGGTAATCTATAATCAGTATATATGTATAAAAAATCTCTTATATTATCTTAGGAGAAATGTTGATTTGACTTAATGTATTTGTATCTCTTTTCTATTTATCATGGCCTTAAAGTGCGTTGCCAAGGGCCACATTGACATTTTATTATCTCTGCAGTTGTGAATATGTCTTTTCACCTCCACTAGCCTTTTTGCTGTTTTAAGTCACAGTTTTTTAACAATGTAAAATAGGTTAGGTTCTCCTTTCATGAACAAAATTAAAGCATTATTAAGGTTCCTAGCAGCCAATAAATTACAACTACTAAAAATCACTTACTACATTCAGGTTGAGACAGGCATGTTTTTGTTCAAGTTTGTGGGAAATTAACTCTAATATAAGCTGTATACATCATCAAGCATTAGTAAAGAGTTTTACAGGTAATTGAAAATATATGATATTATTTGGAAATTCCATTGATTTGGAAAAAATAGAAAAATAGAAGATAGATGATTTGTCTTTACCCTTTAACAATTTCTACACAAGGTTTAGTTTATGACCGTCACCATTCAAAGCCAGTCAAAATAAATAAAAAATTCTCTATTTCCTATTAATTATCTTTTCACTACATTTATGCCTGTTTATTTATTTTATGCAATACAACTTATTGTTTTTTGTTCCAAGTTTTTTTTTTTTTTATCATTTCTATTTTAGTGCTGTTTTCTAATCTTACTTTCATTTCTCCTCTCTACAGGTCCGTTGCTGTGTGATGGAAGGCTGACTTGCTTTCTTTTTCCTCTGCTCCTTCTCTTGCGAGCTCCATTGCTGTTCAGCTTTGGTGAGCGCACATGTCCCAACAGTTGCCGTTGTGAGGGAAAAACTATTCATTGCGATTCCTCTGGATTTTTAGAAGTTCCTGAAAACATTTCAGTAGGTTGCCAGGGCCTTTCCCTGCGCTATAATGAACTACATACCCTGCTACCTTATCAGTTTGCTCACCTGGGTCAGCTCCTTTGGATATATCTGGACCATAATCAGATTTCAGTTGTTGACAGTCGAGCATTCCATGGAGTGCGGAGGCTTAAAGAGCTAATACTGAGCTCTAACCGGATTGCATCTCTACACAATTCAACATTCCATGGAGTACCCAACCTTAGAAGTCTTGACCTGTCTTACAACAAATTGGAAATACTGCAGCCCGGCCAATTCCATGGCTTACGAAAACTGCAAAACCTTCACCTAAGGTCAAATGGTCTCTCCAACATTCCAATTCGAGCCTTTTTAGAGTGCAGAAGTTTGGAATTTCTAGATTTGGGTTACAATCGAATCAAGGCTCTTACCCGCACCACCTTCTTAGGTTTGCAGAGGCTGATGGAATTGCATCTGGAACACAACCAGTTTTCAAGGATCAACTTTTTTCTGTTTCCCCGCTTAGCCAATTTAAGATCCCTGTATCTGCAGTGGAATCGCATCAGAGTGGTCAATCAGGGTCTTCCGTGGACTTGGTACACACTACAAAAACTAGATCTGTCTGGAAATGAAATTCAGACCCTGGACCCAGCTGTTTTTCACTGTTTGCCAAATCTTCAAGTTCTGAACCTGGAATCAAACAAATTATCCAATGTTTCCCAAGAGGCTGTGACAGCATGGATGTCCCTCACCTCCATCAGCCTTGCTGGCAACATATGGGAATGCGGAGCTGGTATTTGCCCTCTTGTTGCTTGGTTGAGAAATTTCCGGGGGAGTAAAGATACCACTATGATCTGCAGCAGCCCCAAACATCTCCAAGGAGAAAAAATCATGGAAGTTACACGCAACCATGGTATTTGTGAGGAAAACGATTACTTTATGACTGAAACACCATCACCAATGCCAGAGCTAATCTCTGATGCAACTGCTGAACCCACCTTTGCCCAGACCAGTGGTTCACCAACTACCCCACCACCCATCACCTTTGGTCCCCTTCCTCCATTCAGACTACGACCAATTCCTCATCCGACCTATCCGGGGCATATGAGCAAAGACACTAGAAACACAGCGATTCGCAGTCGACCCACCCATATATCACCCCCGGCGATAGAACACATGGCGCTACATAAAGTAGTGGTGGGTAGCGTAGCACTCTTCTTCACCATGTCACTAATCCTGACAATTATCTACGTGCTGTGGCGGCGATACCCAGGCGCCACAAGGTTGCTGCAGCAGCGATCAATGGTGGGACGGAAGCGGCGCAAAAAGAGCCCAGAGCCAGAACAGAACCTCAGCACTCAACTTCAAGAATATTACATGAGCTACAACCCCGCTGCCACACCAGAGGCACTGGAGGTGCTGGGCAATGGCACTGGTTCCTGCACTTGCACAATTTCTGGCTCCAGGGAGTGTGAGGTATGACGCATCGCATCAGCCTAAAATAAAACCTCTAAATCAAAACACAAGGCTCAAAAGAGAGGTAAATACTTTACCAAGTATGTCCTGTAAAAAGACACACTTGAAATCCCACTTTTCTACCCCAAAAGTCCTCACTGTTCACACCTTAAACTTAGATGTTGGATGCCTCCAATTATTCCACCTAGTCCTGTTATTCGTTAATTATAAGTAAGAAAAGCTAACTCACCTTACCAAATATTAATAACAAAAATTTAAAACAGTAATTTGTCCAAGTGATTTCTCAAAGGGAGACTCACACAAACTGATGCACTTGAAATGAAAACTGTTTTCATTTTAAGCATTTGTTTCTGTTAATTTTGATGATAACTGCTGAGCTTATGAAAACCCAACATTTATTTTCTTTCAAAATTAGAAAATTATATTAGAACAACATGGATGCTTAAATGCTATGGCTTACACAGTTATTGGGAAGTGTGCTGGCCTAACCTTTGTTCAGTAGACATCCACTGAGACTGTAAAGAAGAAGGGTAAATTTCACCTGAAACAAGGAGCTTTATCTAAATTAGAAAAGGTTTGGTAAACCAAAAATGGCTCTGTAAACAGCTAGCTTCAGTGGGCTTCTGTGATTGTTTGCTAAAAAACTGTCTAGTGAAAACTTCTCTGTATTTGTATAAATAATAACACGACTATATAAGAATGGTGAATAAATCAACTAAGTAAATATATATATATATATATATATATATATATATATATATATATATATATATATATATATATATATATATATATATATATATGTATGTTCATGAAAGCTCTTTAACATCTGATTCCACTTATGGTGTTACCTCCAAACTATATTAAGAATTTTCTGTTGCTTGTTTACTGTTTTCCACCAATTATGTTTTGTTTTCACTCAGCTTTCTGTAACTATGCTTGCATTCAGCGCTCATTATACACCCAGCTTCTTTAGTAGTCACCAACATTTTTATTCAATCTACAACATGTCTACAGAAATCATTTCATTTTTTACTGATGTGAACTGAAACTGAATGTTGGGTTTTCTTTAGATCAGCATTTGTCTTTCAAAATGTTTAATTGACATTTATTGAAAATGCATTTTTGATGAAATTCTAAATTTACCTACATGCACCTATAGTTAGATCCAAAGTTATTCAACCTGGTTGCAGATCTTGATTTTGTTCTATGACCCCAACCTTTTTGTAAATCTGGGGGGATTGCTAAGGTCATTAATTACTAAGTATTACTGCCAACCAGAAGAAGCCTATAGATAAAATGAAATCTAAACCTGCTATGGAGATGGGTAATTTGGCGTTTGCTAAATGACCACAATTATAATTTGGCATAGATACAGTATTTTCCTTTTACTATATAATAAATTTAAAATACAAGTGCTCTGTTATCTTCTAATTTAAAAAAATCTGTGAATAATTGGACGCTGTCTGACTAATGTTTTGTCCCTTCTCCAAGTGAGCATGTTTTTTTTTTTTTTTTTTTTTGGTTGGTTGGTTGTTGTTTTTTTTGGTTGGTTTATGTGCTTTATCCCATACTCTGAAGATGTGTGGACTTGTGTTTTGCAGATGTTCTGTTTGCATCTCTGGCTATTTTCTGAGGCCTATTCAGATTTTCCATATTACAGAAAACATGCTACTGACTTTAAAAAAACAACAACAAAAAAAACTAAGTTCTGGTACAGTATACAGGAAATTGGATGAAGTCTTTGTGGTCAAGCCTTGAATGAGTGGTGAGTTTAGTTGCTTGGAAACCATTTAGGATCCAACGTGCCATCAATGGAGACTAAACGTCAATCTTCCAAAGTTCATTTGCTACTTCTTTAGAAGTAAATGTAATTTGTTTTTTGCTTTGAGGAGTCATTTTAGATGTTCTTTATTTAGTGTGGAACAACTTAACAGATACTTATTTAAAAACCAAAACATATACATAGCTCAATTATTACATCTGATTGTCCCTATCCCTAACCAAACTGCAAAGAAACTACTCAGTATTGAAATAAAAAATGTCCTTAATGATTCTTGCTGAATTTTTGACCACTTTTGCCAGAAATAGTGGAGCCAATGTAAAATATTCTGTTTCCTGTCATTGAACATGTTGGAAGGCAGCATCAACCTAATGCCTACATGGTTGAGATCCAGGCTTTTGTAAAACCATTCTAGAAAGGAACGTTTTTCATGTCAATTCTATTTTTAGTGTTTTTGATCTTTACCAACTTGGAAAACCAAACAGTGTCCAAACGTTCAGCCATCTGACCTGGGTAGACTGTTCCAGACTCTTGGAATAATTTCTAACACCACCATTATTTTATGTTCACACAACAAATATACTACGTTGTTTTGCTGCAGCGATGAGACATATGGTGCGTTTAAAAGTGTAAAAGTCACATTTATATACAAATGAGAAGTATACTGCCAATCATTATGGTGGTAGCATCATACCGAGGGGCTGCTTCACCCTATGGGAACCTGGTACTTACTAAGAGTTCACCCAGCTCTCCAACCCCTCAGAGAGCAATTAGTTGACTGAACAAATTGGCCTTTTGAGAAAGACAACAATTAAAAAACAGCTCCTGAAGTAGCCCCAACCTGAAAGCTACAAAAAATGTCAAAAAATTCGAGTAAAAGCTGGATTCATTAAATAAGGGAAACCCATCATTTTGCCCCAAAAAGATATCCTGTTGTCAGAGTTATGCCAGGGCCGTGTTTATGACCAAGTTCTCTGCAATTTGGTGAGGGATTTTTAACCAATTATGAGAATTGTATGTATTAATTTCAACACCTATACATTATAGAAAGTCAAGGCTACATTTAAAGTTTGGCACCTGTTTTTGAAGTTACTAAAGTACTAAAGTAAGCACAGTACAGCCTGTGCTTATAGTTAAGATACATAAAGTCTTCACCTGCTTTGTACATATCTACTGTTTGCGGTTAGCATAAATGGGGTTATATGTCGATTTAAACCACCATTTACAGCCAAACTTGCTTTACTAGGAAAAAAAAGGAAAAATCTGTATAGAGAGAAGCAAAGAAAGCTTTGAAGCTAAAAAATAAAAAATAAAAAATTATGTAGTGTTTGTAGATGTTGATGTAGTACTTTAAATTGGCTTTGAATATGGTCACTTTTTATTATCGTTTCATGGTTGTAAAGGAGGCACCATTGCAATGTTCTTCTCCACACCGGACAGGAAAACTTTGCCTCTTCAATTTGAATTAATGTCCAGACTAAATGTTAGCATAAATGTCTTAAATGTATGCCTTTACAAATGCCAAAGGTTGCAAAGAGAAAAATATAGGATGAAGGGAGAAACAGCAAAGTACATGGCAGAATGAATGCTTTGCACATAATCAGATTGTGTCCACAAGAACAGTCTGTTGACACTTACATTCAGAGGGATATTACAGTGAGGCTTCAGTGCATAAACCTCTCATTTCAAAGTTGAGTGAGCATTTGAAAGCTCACTGGGGCTTAAACTAGAGGCGCTTTTCAACAGTTAAGCAAAAAAAAAAAAAATAAGATAAATGCACAAAAAAACATTTTTTGATTGGAATTATTTTATGCTACAAACACACAAAACTAAAAAAAAAAACTAGTGGCCTTTTGCGAAGAAAATGGAAGAAACTACATCAAATTAGTTATTTTTTGCAACAGAAAATCTTTTTTTTTTTCATTTCTCCTCATCAACTTTTTTTTTTTTTACTGTTGTGCGTGCATCTCTACGAGTTTCACATCTAAACCTTTTAAATGTTTTCATTCTTTTTTGCAAAATGCATCAAGCCCAGACTTGAGGCAGGATTGTTTCAGGTTTTTCCCTAATTTCTATATTTAATTTCAGTTTAATTTAACTTTGAATGGGCTGTTCAAAACTATGACTCTGCTTTAATGTTCAATGGCTTTTATTTTGCCACTCTTTAGTAAAAGATTTGTGGAGTCAATGATGATAGTTTTCCTCTCCACATATTTTCTTACCTGTGCTGTAGGTCTCTGCCCCCCTACAGATTTGCCATGGCTTCTTGGCTGTTGAACTTAGTAATGATTTGTTGCCAGTTGCACAATTTTCTCTCTATTTTCAGATTGTGCAATGATGTGTTAGATCCTCAAAGCTCTAAATCACAATTTAAAACCAAATCTTCCTCTATACTCTTTTCCTGTCTTTTGTATTCATCGGTCTTGATTGTGTAGGCCTTTTTACAGATGTTCTTTAACAAACTTCTGAGGCTTTTACAGCTACAGCATGTATATAACACACAGGTGAGATGCAGGGGTGGTTTCAGTCCACTTTACCATTAGGGTTGCAAAAATAAACCAAATAAATTGTAGTAAAAATCCAGCCTCCTTGATTATTTTAGCATAAAAACTGCTATTTTTATTTGTTTTTTGCTGGTGCACTCAAAATAATTCAGATGTATCCAAAACTTTTAAGAGTCCTTTCATCCCAATTGTAAGATGTTTTTTTTTTTTTTCCATTTCCAAAGATTGACAGCGTAGTGGTTCAATAACAATTTAGATTTAATTCAATCTACTGACATTTGGGAGAAGAATGCCATTGTAGTTTTGAGACACAATAGTAAAATTATTATTGAAATGGTACCATGTAGTATTTTTTGGGGATGTTTTCCACACCAATATTAGAAAATATGTATAGGAGAGAATTTTTTTACTTTTTTTTGGCCCAAAAATGCAGTCTTGGAATCTCACATATGATTAAAAGTTAGATCACATTTAAAATAATCACTTTCAACCAAGTTCTTATATGCTCACTTGCATTTGTAACCATAGTAGCACATTGGCATATTTAAGCAACCTTTCCAGTAAATAAATCTATTTTATTGTTATCAGCTCTGTACCTTTAACATCAGAAATTAAGTAAAATTGTAAAAAGAAAACATATAGCCACATGCCTACATTAATATAGGCATGAATACATCAAACTGTTTCACTCATTAACCCTGAATTAAGTGTATATTTTACATAATGTCGGTTCCTCTTACAGTATATACTGTATATTTTCTTTTGAATATAAAAACC